TTCCTCATGTTAATGCAGTCGATTCCTCAATCGACTGCAAGCAGTAATTGAACAACGCGGAAGAAACACGCGTTTTTTAAATTTTTACACACACACACACACAAGTGAGAGGCAAGGGGACTCACTTTAATCAAGCACCCCGAAAATGAGTCATTCTACACACACACGCACACACACGCACACGCACGCGCACGCGCACACAGACACAGACACAGACACACACACACACACACACACACACACAAACGGCTCTTTTCAGGGGTGCACATCGGGTAATGCCAATACCGGCGGTATATGCCAATAATGCAAGGGTTACTTTAAAGTACTGTGTCCTTGCGAAAAAAAATGGTAGCGACTCGTTTTTTTTTTAAATTGAAGAGGAAGGTTTGTACTTTATGTTCCTGCAAACAGTATCCCCGAAAAAAAATGTACCTAGCCCATGCACTCCGTCAAACTTTGCAATTTTCAATATAACAAACATGCCCTCACATTTAAGGTGTTACAGTGGTAGGGATGCATCACACCTAAAAAAGAACTATAGTATCTTAAAGTAGAGATTTCAAGTTTTAATTAAAAAGAAGAACATAATTTTACGATGATTTTTCGCGGAGTTACCGTCAGTCAAAGTTGACCAATTTTTGCATAAAATTTTTCTATGCATATTTCTTTTGAGCAGTGTATTTATGTTAGAAATCTTGCAAATTTGACCATTGTACTCACAAAATATCAATTTTTTGTAATTATACATATAGCAAGTTTGACATTTAAAAATATAAAAATGGTAATGCGAAATTTTATTTCACTATGTCTTCGGGAAGACAGTTCTTGTCAAGGGTATTAGATTGTTGCTAAATTTTAATTTGTTGCACTATGATTATTACTTTGACAACTTTTTGCTAAGCAATAATATCAACAGTACTCACCAAGCTGTTTTGTCCAGTAATATGGTATATTTTGTAAGAAATCCATAACTAACATTTGTACTGTGTCAATCTTTATGAATCTACCACTCCTATTCTACAATAAAATTCTACAATATAATATTAATTTAATTAATATCGTTCATTGTCTTATATCACAGAATAGCCGTATATGACGACCGAAACTGATTGTGGGCAAACATCTAGCACGCACAGTCATCCAGTACACGGTTTCTTTCTATTTATACCGTGAACCATCTTGTACTTTGCTCTTGATTTGACTCAAAAAGTTTTCCTCGTGACTTCAACATAGGTTACATTATATGCCACAACTCAGTAGACATGTTAATTACAATTGATTATACATGCAATCTTTATTCAAACTAGCATGATAATTTATAAAAGTCGTAATGGCTTCCGGATGTTTGCCGCGTCCGATACGTTACGACTGAAGAAGACAGCAGCCGCGAAAGCTTGAAAGCCAATTTATAAAAGTATTCAATGAAATAATTAAAAGGACAGATTTCACTTTCTAATATAAAATGAATTTTTCCTGCTAAATTATTTTTTACTGTAAATTACTATATATTAAATTTTGAATTATTTTATTATAATTATTTAATTTTAACCAGCAATGTAAACGGTTGGCTTTAACAGTAATTGGCTTTAACTATAATTAATTTTCTTTCGACTTGATAAAATAATGTACCTAAAAGTTTTTCTATTACTGGGAGCAATGTGTACACTTCCTTTTCTCAATGCTGTATTTCCTGCTATTTGTTCAAATTTCGACAATATCAATAAATATTTTCTCTTTCAGTTGCATTTTCATCTAAGAACAGAAAAGAAAGTTGTCAGATTGAGATGACAGGGAAGTAGAAAACCACAGTCATGTTACTCCTTTGTCAAAACCTGGTGAACTGAGAGCGGTTTGTGCGTTGTCACAATACAGGAACCATCTAACAGTTTGTAACAAAGAACATGACTATGGTCTTTCCTGCCCTTTCCTCCTTGTTTTCCCAATCTGGCTCCATCTGTTTTCTTCTTGTTTCTCAAGATACAAATGCGACAGAAAGAGAAAAGATTTGCCATCAAAATTCAAAATTGCAACGGATATTAAACAACACTGAAAAGATTTAATTTGACATTTTTGCTTCCTCATAGAGGAAGCTTTGTTTTCGTGAAATAATTTTTTTTCCAGTTTTCTTTGGCAATATGTTTAAAATGTTTTAAAACGTCTAAAAATCATATTTTTACAAAATGTCTGTGTGTGTGTGTGTGTATGTGTGTATGTGTGTATGCACGCATTTGAATGTCCGTGGTTGCTCTAACTTTCGTAAATTTTGAGATATCGGGCTTATTTTTTTTTAAATGTCGAGAATCACTAAAGGAAGGTTGGTATTGATTTTTGCGATGATCGGTAAATGGGTTTCTTTTTGAACAAATTTTGAATTTTTTGAGAAATGTCTGTGGTTGCTCTAACTTTTGCAAATTTTGAGATATCGGGCTATTTCTAATTCTATTATTCTTTCCAGTCTTTTCTACCCCTATTTCATATATAATTGATTAATATTCGGTTGATTAGTTTTTGAGTTATAGATGTTTGAAATTTCACGGAATCCGTACATGAACACTTTTTCATTATACTGGGTGTTTCAAAAGTGATGCTACAAAATGTAATGGTGAAATGTATACATTATAGCAAAAAGTCCTAATAAACATAGGTAGAGGCCCCTCTTTTTCATTATACAGGGTGTTTCAGAAGTGATGGTACACAATGTAATGAAGAAATGTACACACTTGTAGAAGCAAAAAGTTTCAATACACATAGGTAGAGGCATACCTCTTGAATATGGCGATGACCGGTAAAAGGTTTTTTATTTTGAATTTTTTTTTAGAAATGTCAGTGGTTGCTGTAACTATCGCAAATTTTCTTTAATAATGATTTCCAAAAATGTCAAATGTCTATAACTCAAGAACTAATTAATCAATTTTAATGAATTATATGTATATGAAATTTGGATTGAAAAAACTGAAGAACAATATAATATATAATTAAAA